TTTTTTGTGTTTTTCGTTTTGTGCTGCATCGGGACGATGCGCTTTTAAAGGGGGGGATAATGCCGCGCGCAGGGTCACGGACTTCTAGAACTTTCTCGTTTATTCTTGCTCCGGACTGCTTCTGTCGTTTATCCCTGCTTATGTTGTTCTAGAAAGTGCGTGTTCATTCTCGCCACGAGCGCGCTACGCTCGAACCTTCTCCGCCGAATCTTCGAGATAGTGCCTCATTCTAGATAAGACGCCGCTCGCGACCTTGTCGAGTCAGTCTCGCCCCAGCGCTCGATTCTGCTGACACGCCGACTTCGACGCCCGCGACGCTCTGCTGTTTTCTTCGCTTTCCTTCTTTGTTTTTAGCACAAGTTCGCCACATTAAACGTTTATTTATTCCTCTTTACTTCTTGTTTATTGGTCACCGCCCGTGACAATATGTCGCATATCAGTTTTTGCATATTTCATATCAATTCTTATTTAGATTCATATACTTTTTTTCAGTAGGGTAATCCTATGCGGAGCACAAGTTTGTCTGTTTCTTTCACAGGGGTTGCGGTAATGTCAGAAGGCAAAACTCTTATTGGCCGATTGAACAAAAAAAAATAGCGGGTAGACCTCATGGTGTCTGGCATTGTGGTCTACCCCCTATACCTTCCAATCAAAGCCAATGAGAGCTCGTCACAGTTCTGACATCACGTAATGTCTGCGCAAGAAGCAGACGACTTGCTCTCCACATAGGGCGGTGTCAATAGAAAGGTGGGCTGTAAAATGAGCTAGAAGAATCAATGCCTTCAATTAGCAAGCTGAACTTATTAAAGGTTTTATTTTTTGACACAGATTCCCATGAAAACTTTTAAGGTGCAACTCTCATTCTCTGAAAAATAGAACTACATTATTTAAATTTGACAATAGGCAACAATGTATACAACTGAGTCGTGTTGAGTGCTCTTGTCGAGAGCTGCCACAACCTGTTGTGGAAAGCAGGCAACACAGCTGAGCATTGCATCTGCAGCAAGTTTTCTCAATGTCAGTTGTCTTTTCTTCTGTCAGTTCTGGCCTTCAGACCAATGTGGAGAATTATAGAAGATAGTGGGATTACAAAACATCTGCAGTCTGACTGACCATCGCAGTCATTGCATTTCTAAACAGCGATATAAAGCACCTTCTCGACAACACCAAACGTCACTATCATTCATCTGCGTCGGCACTCATTCTTGAAAATATAGAGAATGCTGTTTTCACATTCCACAGAGACGGAGCTATGCCTTGAGATGTCACAATAGTGTCCACTGCTAAAATAGACATTTGGTAAGAATATGAGCTCAATGCTTGTAGGTGCAGATTTCTCCAGTTCATTTTACAGCCAGTCCCTTAGTGATGCTGCCCTATACGTAATGTTCATTATGACGCTGATACAACCAGGTTTTCTATAAAAAATAAGTTACAGAATTTTTAATTAGAAAAGGATCTCTTTAAGCAAATATTGAGTACTCTTTCCTATGCTGCTTGCAGCAATCATACAATGTCACCCTATTGAAAAAACCAGCTTAAGCTGGTCCCAGCTTCAAGCTGGGTTATTGCCCCAGCATGCCCAGCTTGGCATGCTGGTCATGCTGGTTGATCTGGTCATACTGGTCATGATGGTTGATCTGGTCCCAGCTTCAAGCTGGGTTATTGCCCCAGCATGCCCAGTTTGGCATGCTGGTCATGCTGTTAAACTGGTCATGCTGGTGAACTTCCCAACCAGTTTAACCTGTTTAAATTAATACACAGAATAAAAAAGCCAAGCTCGTCAGAAAAGCCAACTCGGCATCCAATTTATTATTTTCGTACTTGCGGCAGCCTCACATGAACTCAAATGCTACACATCCTCGGCGCTGACACAGTACTAACCGACGCACAGATTCTCGGTGCAAATTGTCTACAATGTTAATAAAACCAGATTGCTTATCTCTCAACACGAAAAAAATACTAGACACAGGCCAAAAACAGGCAATAGCAGACGAAAATACTACACGGACGAGAGAAGCGAACCTGGGTCCCGCCAGCGATGGGGGCGAAGCGGCAACTTGCGTGGTCGGCAGAGGCGAGGAAATCCGTGTGGCTTGGATGGCATTGGCGATACTCCTCGGCACCGCCGTCATTCTTGGGCACACACACGTTCGAAGACACGAAGCGACGCCGCAGTCGGGACGTCTGACATCTTCCCGCACTGAACGGACTGCCGCTCGCTGTCTTCTCAAAACCCGCTTCGCTTGCACCGTCGTTCAACTAGTCTCCAAACAACGCGCACACAGCCGTCCCTTCGATCTGCCCTCTGCCCAAGCTATCCAAACGCGTCTTCGATTCTCCGTTTCTACCACTCTCTCTCTCTCTCTCTCTTTTCTCGCACACAAAGGTAGCTTGCAGCGCGCCTGACGCGCCCGGTGGTCTACCAAAAACGAGAGGACAAAGAACAGGACGTGGCCTCGTTCCAGCAGCCGACCTTGTCGCGCGCGCTCCCAGCAATGCCAGTTCGGCTATCTCTAGCCGACCTTGGCGTGCGCGCTCCCAGCATGACCAGCTTGACCACCACGATTATTATTTCGACCAGATTCACCAGCTTGTCTCCCAGCATGACCAGCTCGTCTCCCAGCTTGACCACATTGGCTCCATGGAAAACCAGTTTGACCAGTTAAGACCAGACTGGCTCCCAGCTACACCAGATTGAATCTAAAACCAGATTCGAGTGAGACCATGCTGGTTTTTACTTAGACCAGACTGACCAGCTTAAATTCCAGCTTGCCCAGCTTAAACCAGCTTGATTGCCAGCTAAACCAGTTTAATTACCACATTGACCAGTTTGACCACCTTGATTACCAGCTTGACCACCTTAATTACCAGCTTGACCAGTTTGATTTTCATGCTGGTTTTTCCAATAGGGCACCTGAATAATTAATGAGAAAATAAGCAAAGTACCTTCGAACACTTTATTTGGGTCCTTGAAGAGCCAAAGTAGAGCCCCCCGTGGTGTTTTGCCTTTGTTTTCAGATGCTGCATGTAACATGATGTGCAAAAGAGAAAACAGAGAAAAATTTTTTAAATATCTATATCAGATCAACAAGATGGGCAAATTGAGCTTGTGCATAAAACACAGCCCCCCTCAGCCCATTTAATTATTAGCCATGAATCTTATACGAAAGTCAAATGGACATTGCCTCTAATTGTTCATCTGTGATCCGATATCTAAAACCAATGTTTGACTTGAGGGTCTTGTTCTCCTGTTCCTTAGTCAAAACCGATACACTCCAAGCCTAAATTCGTTCGAAACTTAGAAAAAAATGCAAGGCCGGAATTGCAATAGTGATTTGGTTTATAATGTGAAGCATTTCTTGAGAACTGATGAACCTACCGGAAAACTCGATTCAGTCTGAGTAATGCTTTATTTCTAAGGTTCATGAGATGTTGCAGAAGAGTCTATGTAAAACTGGCTAAGCTCATATCCCAGACTTTCATAAGTTTGGGCAGCCACTCAAAATCTCCCATTAGAACGAAGGGCTAGTTGCACTCCTTCTCGTTGTCGAATCAGGTGGTCAGCCTCGAGTGCTTAGAGTGTGTGAACATAGAAACTTGATTTTCTCTTTAGATATCCCTGAAGGTTTTCACAGAACTGAGCGGGTGAAAGAGTGCATGTGTACTAAAACTGCTATCAAAAACTGGGGACTAAGCAGTAGCTTAGTCCCCAGTCCCCAATCTTACAATTTGGGAACTTCATCCTACCCACGTTTGAGCACACCTGTGCACACGCTTTTGAGTTGAGCGAGTGGTAAAAATGTACAGAGTATTTATATATGGCATGCAAGTCTGCATGCTCCACACTTTGTGCACCTGATTACCCCCAAAATGTGATCTAGCCATTCTCTTTACCCCAAGTGCCTACCACTCAAGGAGCTTGCTTGGCCACCTCGTCAGCGCATTCTGACTGAGCATTTTTTCTGTTGCCCATTGAAAGGCGGACCCTTCTTCATAATTTTCTCTAAGGGACTATTCCGATGTGTGCGAACGATGCATTTTGGTGTACCTGCATGCCATATACTCCAATATACAAGTTGGTTTTGGAGCTGACAAAGGCATAGGGTCAGATGCACAATTTTAAAAAGCTTTCTCTCTGCGTGAGCACTCATACAAACCAAGCTCTCATCATGTGCCTCTGCCGTTGCCTGTGCTAGAGTCAAATCGGTAACACGAACCATCCAACAGACCAACCGACTGGTGAAAAGTGACAGAAAGGTTCGCCCATAAATACTGTCGAATTTAAAGTGAAAACAGGACAAGCTGAGACAAGCAACCGATTAAAAAAAAGGTACCATGAAACTTTCATTACAACAGTTATTTTATATCTAGAAGAAATAAATACGTGAAGCCAACCGCATAAAATTAATTTATAGAGACCATAATCGGGTCTGCACAGATGAAGAGGAAAAAGTCAATCTTTTGGAAGACCTTCTTAATAACTGTGGCCTTTGATCTAGTGAAGCTGTACAAGTTAGGGTAAAATAAATGTAAGACACAGATTTTTCTCTATACATTGTGGACAAATAGACATCCGACTATGACTGTGGAGGGGAGGGGGACACAGGCAGCAGCTGCATCTTTCTTCTGCGTGCACCTCGACCAAGTCGTATTAATTTGGGTTGCGGGGACCTGCACCTGCATGTCTCGGCACATAAATCCGCCGAGCACAGCGATTTCTGTGCCAAGACATGAAGGCCACTAGACATTCTTAAAAGAATTGGGCGGCTAGCAGGACTAGTGGGCAGCGAAACCACTGCCACCCGCCGTGGGAAGAACCCTGGTTAGATGTGATCAATATTGTCCAAATAGCTTTCAGAAGGGTGCTGTCAGTCACATCCAGTTTGCTTTTCTCTCAGACATGCTAGATTTTAAAAAACTGAACTATTTACTTGCCAGCAAAAATCATGTGCAGCCAACTCCCCAAAATGACTTTTTCAGAGACCAATCGTCAAAAACTGCTCCACGTTGTACAATTCCAAATGTAGTTCCTGAAAAAAAAAAGACAAACACGAATGGCTATCTATACAAATGAGAGTTGCTTAAATCGTAGCTGGCTATAACTATCCAAGGTAATCCTGCAGTACAATGGCCACAGGAGACTGCCAGAAATCAGCTGACTTCTGCTCCAAAAAATTCTTACAAACCAGACTTAAGAACCATGCAGTTCCCTTTACTTAAAGGTTACCTTATAATGTGTTAGAATATATAAAAAAACATACTTCAAATCTTAGAGCAAGACCTTGTAGGCATCGACATAAACTAAGCAAAAAAATGATGCAATTAGAGGACCCTTACAATATTTGTTGCCTTGGGCAAGATACTTTACATAAAACGGCTACCGAATTAAGCTAGTTAAAAAAAGTAACATATAACAGTTACTCCTAAGAGGTAATTCCAATATCTTACTTTACTTTTTTTATTAAACAAATAAACAAGAAAATGTAGGAACCGGCTATGCTCAGGTTTATGGCATGAAGTGCCTGTATCAGTGTTATTACATCTTATACTAAAGCAGCAGTTGCGTTTCTAAATTTTCGTCCAAAAGTTTTACTTTACTGAAGGCAAGCAGATCCATTTCCATCGCTGAACAAGCTTTCAACTGGCACACTCAGTGGAATTGCTTGCACGCACAAGGATTTGTTCCTGGTTAAAACCTTAACGATACAAAAAGCCATTACCTCTGAGGTTACCTTTCTCCACCACTGCGTTTCACTTACGCACAACTTTTGGAGGGAGTTGAAAAAAAAATATTCTCCTTGTTTATCTGTTGTCAGTGTTTTCTCTGCATTGCCAGCTGCGCTTTGTCATTGGCACTAGTCATCCATCATTTGAAATGCGTAATCTTTTTGGTCATTGTCTATCCATGACAATCTAGATATAAGGTATGCATCAGATCATGCTCCTCAATGTAACGGTAATTAGAAAGATTAGAAAATTAACTACAAAAGAACATTGCAACTTTTTTATTCAGAAAAGAATAACGTGATACAGAACTTACTTCCCACAAACTTAGCGTGTGACAGTTAGTGTTACCAAGAAAACAATTGTTACGTTAATATGTTGCTTGCAACGTGTCACTACTTAATACTACCTGCGATTCAAACGTGGCAAGTTAATCGGCTACAAAAAGCCAGCAGCAGGTGACCTAGTATGTTTGAATTTAGCTATAGTAACTAGATTCAAATGAATTTAGCATATTAGGTTTGAATCTAGCTATAGTGTATAGTAACACCAGTTGGGGTCAAAACAATGTTGCATGCGACAGACACTACTAAAAAACTTGTCGGAAGTGACACCAGCTGGATCAGCGTTGGCTCCCTCTCAGAGTCATGCTCGATCTTTAATAACTCACTTTTTACTTACCATGAAAATACACCAGCAAAGTTGACTCCGTAACTCGACTTGTCCAAATAGCTAAATCATCAAACGTTGCTCGACGTTTCGAGATGCTAACCGTATCTTCTGAAAAACAAGACATACACAAGACTGTCAGAATGCCAGTTAAAGCAAGTGAGAATAGCTTAAATCGCAGTTGGCACTGGACATGCAAAGTAACTCTGCAGTGCAAGCAGGGCTGCAGGAGGCTGCAAGAGATTAGCAACCTTGTGCCCTGAAAAACCTCTACAAAACAAGAATGAACCATGCAGTTCCATTTTGAAGGTAACTCATAATCTGCTAAAATATGCATTAGAAAAAGGCTTGATACATGTTTAAACTGGGGCTTTAGGGGCGACATGTTAGATGTGGCTGATATTGCTACAACAGTTGTTGAAAAAGTGACATCAGCGACATCAGCGTTGCCTCCCCCTCAGGGACATGCTCAATCAGTAAGAACTCAAACTCGTGACTTACCACAAAAAAAACAAAAGCGAAGTTGACTCCGTAATTCAACTGGTTCAAATGGTTAAATCATCAAACATTGCTCGACGTCTTGAGGTGCACACTGTATTTTCTGAAAAACAAGACACAAGATTGTCTGACTGTCAATTTAATCAAGTTAGAGCAGCTTAAATAGCAGTTGGCACTGGACATGCTAAGTAATCATGCAGTGCAAGCATGGCTGCAGGTGACTACCAGACCGGCCGACTTGTGCTTTGAAAAACATCTATGAAACAAAAAGAAAGAACCATGAGGCTTCACTTACTTCAAAGCTTAAAAGTTAGTATTTAGGGGGGGGGGGGGGGTGCAACGATTTCCGGACTTCGGTCAAAGATTTCTGGAAGTTGCTCTCAGACACTTTTGAAGTAAAGAACAGGAAACCGATTTCACCTGCGCGTCATAGTTGTTCCATAAAAAAAAGATAACTATTGGCATTTCGAGGACCCCTCAACTCACTCCCAGTCTTCAGGGTCACACCTTGTCGCACTCCTAGTGACGTAATTCGGAGTGCCGTGTAGGTTCCCGTGTGCTATCTCGGAGGACGCTTCCTCTCCCTCTCTCTGCTGACATTAGCGGGCGTTATGCTGCAGCTTGGAGCCGAGCGAGGTCACGTAATCTTCTAGCCGTAGTTCCTTCGGCTGCCACTTGCGGCTGCAGGTTGGGGAAGAAGCTTGGCCTTTGTTTTGCGATTATGCAGCGGAATCGCAACATTCTTAATGAAGCAGATGTTTTCTCTATCCTCCGGGACACGATAAACAACCTAAAAATGACGAGATGCAAATTCTCTTAATCATAAAATCGTTGCACCCCCCTCTAATAATAATACATTTAAATATCAAACGAATAATTATTTTGTGCGAGAGCAAGGCGCAAAAAAGTTGCAAGGAGATCATATGAAAACTGGCAGGATGCCGGTTGCTGTAATTAAACAGACGCAGACTCCTGATAACACGGGATATGAATACCATATCATGTCGGCCACATCTGCCTTGACCTGTAGCACTCGCACTGCGTGCATGAATCACCGGTTCACAGCAGCGTATCGTAGCAAATCACGTACTGGCTCTGGGGGCTCAAACGTTTTACAGATCAACCATCTTTGGTTACAATTACAGTATGACTTCCTGTTTTAAATAAACGAGTTGAAATAAGATTTATTTGCATACAGTTCCCAGACTTCTGTGTGGGCTTTTGTGAGTCGTTTCAGTTGCTCTTTTAGGATGGTGTGTCCGGGAGCATTCTCAGATTGAAAATTCGTACAACTGCCGAACCGTCCTATATGATGAAAGTATAAACAAAATATGACATCATTCGCTTCGATATTTGAAAGTTTTGAATACTCACAAAACCCTTTGCTACACTTCTCAAAAGGTTGGCATAGCCACATTAGAGTTGTCTTCCTCTTAGGTACATGCTAGATGTGTAGAAATTCAAATTTGCACTTACCATAAAAAAACAAACAGGTTCAAGTTATGTGGCGACTTCATTTGAAGCCCTTCAGCAGCGCTAAAATCTTGCGACGGGCCGTCGTTCGCTTCACTGCTCCCATTCTCTTCAACGCTTTCTCCAGGTTGATTTGGAAGATTGGTCTAGGAGGATACATTGCATCATCTAACATTAATGCCATGCCTGCTTTATGCATACTCAGCCTGGTGAAGGTGAAGCCATTTATTTTCTACTATCAGGTCAGACTATGGTAGTGTTGGAACATGTTAAACCTGAAAAACTGCTGAACAAGTACACATTCTATAGACTGACACCCTGTTTATAAATAAGCCCGCCTTTGCCCACACCAGGTGTGAGCACTGTGCGTGCGCAAAAACCAAATTCGCGTAAAGTGAAGCGTTTGCGCTGTGCCGCCGACAGCGCCACCGCAGCTGCGTGACGTCAGTGCCGCGTGCTGGTCTATACAAGAGAACCATGCTTCCCTGCCTTGAAAGTTCCAGCCTAATGAAAACCAGTGTTCCCACGTTATCAATTCATTATAAATATGCAGCATCGTAATTCTTTGTGAAATTAGTACAGCTCAAATGTTTGTGCGAGTTGTGAAAAAGGGCGCTACGGCACGATAAATGAAGGGGTAATATAGATTATGTCATTCTATGACATATCCTGTGGACTTGACGCATTTCAAGATTTTCTCACCGTTGCATAAACTCGAAAGTGGCCAAGGCTTCCTTTGGATAGGTAAATTAAACGCGTAAAAAGCCCTAAACAAGACACATACCACCTTCAAGAATGGCATAGGCTCTTCAAATATTGGCTGACGCTCAGTGACAAGGAAGCAATTTTAGTTGAAGACGCCTCCTGAAAAAAATATCAGCTTGCATCTCAGACAATTTAAAAATGCAGGAATGGTGGCTATGTTCCTTACAGTCTGACTGAGGAGCCAAGATTAATGCATACATTTTTGCAGTCCGTGGAACAGTGGTATTACGTGCCTTCCTGAGTGGCGCCGTGCAAGTATTGAGCGGAGGTATATTGCTTTAATATACACATAGAATATTATGAGCATAAAAATGATTATAAATACGATGGTCTTAGACCATGTTGTTGGGGGGAATAACCGTACGGTGACACAAGTGCGTTCTGTGAAATGAGAAATTCATCGGCTGCATTATGACTGCTAACCAACCATTGAACGTGCAAAACGCAGTGGAGATACACCGATGGCAATCAGTTCATCGAACGACGTTTCCTCGACAGATCGTTTCATCGGCAGCTCAAAAAAAAACTTTTTTTTTTCAGGGGGGCGGGGGGGGGGGGGGGGGGGTTAAGTTGCATGAGACTGTCGCCGGGAAGCGACCTGTACGGGTCGGTTAGGTGGGTTAACATTTTTGTGACGAGCAGCGGCAGACTGTCGCCGCGAAGTGGTGTGAAAGCAGGCGGGGGTGTGGGTTTACGCGCACTTCAGTGATACACGAGTGTCGAAACGTCCCTGCAGCATGAAATTCGCGTAACGAGTGTCGATGAAACGTTCGTGTCGACGAAACGTGTCCATGAAAAGTTGTCCACGAAACATTCTGCCGCGAAACGAATTTCGACGAAACGATAGGTACCCCTCGGCGAAATGAGAAGGCTACAGGGCGCTCGAACAACGATGCGAAACTCGTAAAGCGCACTTACGCACTCAGACGATGCGTTCTCACGTGCTTTACTGCAACACTCTTGCCAGCCAGCACGCGCGAATAGCCTCCCAATCGCTACAAACGACGAACCGCGCGTCCCAGCGAGCTCGCGACATGACACAAGGTTCAAACGAGCACCCACTTGAGCTTTCAACTCTGAGAAGAACGTCAAACACGAACTGAGATAGCGGCGACCGTCATTGAACCCGAAAGTTTAAAGCGACGCAAATCCGTGGTTTCGTTTCTTTCGAGGAAATAAGTGTCAAAAATACGAACGCATATATGACAGTCCCCAATCAATGTTCATAAAGAGAGCAGAACAAACTCATCGTTTTGATAACAACAAGGAAAGCTCGCACAGAAACCAGCAAGCACCTCTACCCCTCGACAAAACCACGAGTTGGTCGTGGACAAAACAAGCGCGGCAGTAGCGGCAGCAACACGAGGGAGCGGAGACAGCGGAGATGGGTAGAGGGAGAGATAGCGGCAGTGTGATTATACTAGACAAAAATCGCTCCTCGTGCTTTTCAATTGAGCGGTAACTAGCGCCACCTCGTTTCGGAACGTTTATCATAAGTTGTTTGACAGTGTAATAAATGATCCTTTAAAATGTGAGAACCGTTGTCTAATAGTCTAACCCAAATGAAACAATTTTCAGCTTGTTGCAAATTTTAGTTGTTGTTTGAAGAATCGTATTTTAGGTTTACGGACAAGACAATCGTATTTCAGATTACAGATGCTTCTCCGTAGCTTTTAATGAGAAGCTGTACGCTTTTTTACGGAACGTTTTTACCGTGCACACCAGATAAAAATATATAAACTTTCTTGCCTAAACATCTCGGACCGAGTCGAGAGCATTTCAGTATTGCTGCGAGAGGTTCCGACAATGAGTGCATCGCTCTAAAATGTGCTTCGGCTGTATATGCAGTTAAACCAAGTAATCGTACATCAATCGCCGTACTTCAGTTCTAATCACCTGCCATGTAGAGTAGTTTCGCGTCGTAGAATCCTCCTTTCGTTCGAGCGTCTCCGGCCCAGTAGGCCTGGTACACTTTATCGTCTTCAACTACACCCCTAAAGTCCCTTACATCTTCGGAACTCACAACAGGCTGGGTCTTGTCGAGTAGAAATTCTACTAAAACGTAAGACATTGTAGAGCCCGGGCAGGATCGACAGGTTGGAGCAAGCGGGCAAACAAAACGGGTCGAGAGCGATCGTTCATGAAAGCTCGGCGAAGCCTCTATGCGCGAAGCGAAAGTGGCGTGTTCGGCGTTCGGCGTTTCGGCGGGCTTCTGAACAAGGTTGTCGGTCGGTTGCGTGTCATATCTCTAACATCAGCGGTTTTATGGGCTCACGTCCCGAAATCGTTTTCTCAAGCATAGATTATTTTTGGTAATCATAGATTTGACGAAATAGTGGTATCCGAACAAACTTTACGTCCTTCGACCGTACGGCTGTCTGCACGTCAAAGCTTTTTGACGTACAGTCAGAGACAATCGATGTACAATCAGAATCGCCACCAAGACATCTTGATGGCAATGGACCTTTTCCAAATACCGACGGCACCAGGCGGTGGCTGCACGAACTAAAAATCGAGGAAGTGACCTACCTGCGCTACCAATCGATATTGGGAGCTACGCTTCCAGTTGCTTCGCTCTCCGAGCTGCGTCGCGTGCCCAACGCGACTTTAAAGATGGAAATCCGTAGCGTCCACCCAAACGTCGTGTTTTTCGTTCCGTCCACTTTCTTTTTTTGTGTAACACAATTATATATTTGCTGCAATTACATCTTCTACTCGCCGACCTACAGCCTCATTCCAAATGTCCCCGATTTTTCGTGCCGACTTCCACCGCTTGGCATCGGGCGCTCGCGCGTGC